CCTCAAATGGAATTACAACACACCTAAGACAAAGGATGACTTTTGAGAGAGTATTTCTTGCACTCAAAACGGGCTCATGAACTCCAAGAATGTAGTATCGATTTTGGCTATGGAGTAACATATTTATATGTAGGATTCCAAGGGTTATGGGTAAATCCTAATCCATACCCATGTGTTTATGATCCATGGTTCATGTGGCCCAACTCTTTATGTATCCTTACATAAACTTATTCCAACATGGATCAATATCCCAATCCATATGTTTCACTAATTACCATAATTCGTCCCCATAGTTTTAATTAGTCTCTTTTGATAACCAAATTAATTCTTGATCAATACTAATTATCATATGATTTCATATTAATATAATAGAACTTATAATATATTAATAAATCATAAATAACCTCTTCTCAAAAGTCCATCCTATCAAATTGTCCTTGTGATATGCAACCCAAATGGACCATGCTACTCTCGGGTCAAGTACATACCAATTATAGTTATGGGCTTAGACACCTAATCCAATAGACTCCCGCATGGATAAGTCTAATAACTATTGTTGTAAGTATGACTCTACAACCCAACTAGTAATCGTAGCTCTTAAAAGTTGCTGTCGAACTTTGACCTAGTCAATGACACGTCCATTAGATAAGGGATCATACATTCCTCAATTATAGATATCATATGGACTGAGGTATGGATTATAATCATTCTATTTGTCCATATGTTGTTTCCTGATTTCCGATTTATGACGACCGACTAATTGAACAAATCAAATCAGTCCAGGCTTGGCCAAGCACTTAGGTTTGTCATCACTAAATCATCGAGGGGGGCACATATATCACTTTTATCCACATGGGGAAAAAGAAACGGATAAACTTTGACCTAAATGCTTTCTTTTACTTACTCATCAAATTACACACAACGATATGTTTTATAAAACCAAGTTACTGGTGCGTTTACATATGTTAATGTGCAACCGACTTGCAACTACAACTCACATGTCTTCATTTCAAGTATATAAGATATTATCATCTCAAAATCATTTGTGATAAAATCCCTGAAGTGATTCAGATGAGTGTAGGTTGAATCGAATACTCAAATATTATTCCAAGAGTACTCATGAACACTGTAGCTATGTCTAAACACATAGACAAACTACAAACCCATGCATGACAGTCTTGCGTCACAACATACTTCCAAAGTATGATCAACTGTGGGTGGTTTGAATAACCTATTTATTCGGGAAGTCAAAACATGCAAAGTGAAACACAAGAATAATACTAATCCTGTATTCCCCAAAACTTTTGAGTGCCATATTGATTACTCATTATTCATTGTATAATGCTTCGAATAATCAACTTAATACTTGAATTAAAACAATAGTTTTCCCATGCTCCAAGCATGCACACCATGTTTATCTACGATCCTTACTTTGTGAAATAGATCAATTGACAACATTTCAATGATGCTCATTTCAAAATTCCAAATCCTTACCGTAAACGTAAGAATATGAAATTCTTGCCATTTATTAAAATTTGTTAGATTCTAAACTTATATGCAATGATCCTCTTGTAATGACTATGCACAAAAGTCATAGAGACTTGGCAACAAACATTACAAGGCATTCCAACGGAGAGCAATTCTATGGAAACAAAGTCTCAAATTCAAAGTACATTCCTTTGAACATTCTTCTTGCATTAAGTTTCTAACTTTCTCATCTATTATTCAACTCCCAATATGGAAACATTCCATATTTTCCATGATGTCTTACATAAAGACATGATACTTGACCAATCTTTTGACATGATTCATGATGTCTTACATAAAGACATGATACTTGACCAATCTTTTGATACAATATTTATATTTTCCATGTTCTCAGAATGTGAATTATAAAGAGGGATGCTGTAATCATAATAGAATTTTGAGAACGCAATTAACACTTCTATATATAGAATTTCTTTATGTTGAACCATTCCAACATAACATTCATATATATTCAACTAAAATTGATTAAAATCTCAATCTAAGCTTTTAGAGTTGAAATGAAGTATGAATTCATCTCCTTTAATTATAGCAAAACAACTTTTCAAACCCTGAAACTTTGTGATTTGAAACCTTTTGTTTTTCTATAATTAACATTGATAACTTTCAACACTTTCCATAGTAATCATGCTCCCACTAGCATAATAATTATTATCTTACTAGCATAACACTTATGCTTCCACTATCTTTGACATGTACCCAGAAATCAGTTAGACTTCTAGAAATCAATACTTATTGACTTCTTTACCAAAGTTCAGATTTCTGATACGAGATGCTTTGATAAGACTTTATCTAGGCTTCTCAAACTAATACGCCTTTCCTTAGATAGCTCACATGTGTGTCTTAACAATTTTAGAACATACAACAATAAGTCTAAAATGTTTATACCCTTTTCCATTTCTCACAATTCGAATTATGAAAAGGGAAGTTGTAATCATAATTGAATTAGAGAATGCAAATATCACAATTTCTATCTCCTTAAAATCTACTTAGTGAAATCGTTTCCACTCAATCATTTTCATGAATTTGAGAGAACCCTTATGACACTTAGATTTTATGGTGTATGTGTTCCTACCCATGTGAATTTGTCAAAACCATGACCACAAGACAAGGTTAGTGACAAATCCAAACTCATACGGACTAAACTTGTTCAATCTTAATTTCTCGCCACCCGGCAGCACGAGGGCCTACCATTGCTTCCAGGTTGTTATGCAACCAATTGAGAACTCTCAGAACTCACATGCATAGTCAACTTTAACTGGAATGGGCACAAAAACAAGAATATGTCAACATTATAGGTTACAGACCTCAATTCGTGTGCTAGTGATTAAAAATATCTTTACTCTTGAATAATTCTTAAACTTTTTCAAGATCTTTAAGACTCCCACTGACCTCTTGACATATAAGTTTATCTTTGTCAAGAGACATTACTTGACAAACAAATATTCAAGAGTTAGTGCGGTTTCTTATCAAGACAAACACTTCACATAATTGGTCTTAGTTGGTCTTTGTTTTATCCAAAACATCACAAGTTACCAATTTCAAATGTACAACAGTTGAAAACATTTTACTCTACATTTGATAAGTGCTATAAACCTTTCGTAAGATTATGTCACTCAAGCCTCGATCATGGAGAATTACTCTAAGACTCGATTTTGGAACGAAGTATGATTCACCTTTTGATTAACCATTTCAACAATTCACGATTCCTCTTCTTAGCCATACAAATACACTAAGATGTTTTTAAAAGATCAATTGTGATATGGTTTACATAATCATTAAGATGATCATAAAACACGATACTAAAGTACGATCCCGTCCTTTCAGATTGGAGAAACTTTTATCTTTCTGCCTAATTTGATTCTTCTTATTCATCCTGATATACATTGAAACCTTTTCAATGATTTAGAATTATACTAAAACTTGTAAGCATAACCATATTTACTAACTATAATAAATCATGACGAATAGTCTTATCGTTCTTTTGTGGCGGACCTGACCAGTACACAACCAAGTGTACCCGATCCCCTAGTCCTTCACTTGACTCACATATACATGTGAACATGGAATCACTACTAGAAAAACAACCTTTTACGACGCGCAATTAATGACACACACTGATAGAGAACGCGCATTCGTGCGTGCCCTAAAAATTAATGTCAGTTTTCCAAAATTTGAAGGATATAGTACACGCATTTTTGCGCGCCCTAAAATTAGTGTCCAAAAAAACACGGAGGGCACCTATCATAATAAGCGTGCCGTGTAAATGTGTCGCTTTATATTTTTTTTTAGAAAGGCACGTTCTTCGTTGCTTTAATAATCTATGGTGGGAAATGAAAACCCAAAAAATTAAACAGCCCGCCTGATTCATCTCCTTCTAAAATCCTCAAACAAAAAACCCTAATACTCTAGAAAACCCTAATCACCCTTATGGTTTTCTTCTCCTTCTAAAATCCTTCTTCTCCTTCTAAATTAAACAGTCCCCCACCGGATCGCTAAAACAACAGCTACTGATGCACCATTTCACTACCTTTCACTCTCTAAATGTGCGATTGCTCAATGTAATGGCCTTCTAGGGTTCGTTATCCCCCTCCCTTAATGCCTGTGATCGACAATGGAGATGATGGCCACCACTACTACTCCATTACTTACATATCAATCTGTCTGCATACAAATACCTTGTGTACGGAGGGTTTAAGGTTAGTTCTTTAATTCATCATTTTCGTGAGCCAATAACCCTAGCTTCTATCATTACTTCTCGTTCTTCACCGACGATCTCATCTAAACCTCATTCATACGTTATTTTTTTATAATTCTTAAACCCCGCTTCAAAGAATTTGGGTTGCGGACCTCACAAAATCCTTCACAGAACCGGCTATTGGGGGTCTGCGAATCTTCACGTTGACTGCTATGTATATAAATCCACCCCTCATCGTCATCTAAACAAAAATTAACCTTCATACTTCTTCACTCAGAAGTGTTCAGAAACAAGCTCAAAATCTCAACACAAGATCCCCATGATGTCCATATCTCAAAATCTCAATAGAAGTTTTCTAGCAAGAGAACTCTTCCAAACTTGATGATTGTTGTAGCATTTCATAACTACTAACATGCGCCGGATCAAACCCCTCATCAAACAAAACCTTTCTCCTTTTTCTTCTCCTCCCAGTAACCATAAACCTCGCTCATCTATAATCTTCGCTAGAAACAGTGTGATTGTATTGGGAATTGGGTTCGTCATCTGTTGGTTACTTCACTTTCTTGCAAGATACCTCATGAAGAAGAAAACATCATCATCATCTTCAAACTCTCATCGTCAATCTTCAGTATTTCAAGAAAGTAACGTTAATGATGATGTCGCCTACTAGAGACAACTACAACAGCACTTCCATTTACATTCTGGTTTAGATCAAGCTTTCATTGACGCTCTCCCATTGTTTCTTTACAAAGAACTAATGGGGTCAAAAGAGCCCTTCGATTGTGCGGTTTGTCTTTGTGAATTCTCAGAACAAGATAAGCTAAGGTCGCTTCCTTTATGCAGCCATGCTTTTCACATTCATTGTATCGACAATTTGTTGCTTTCAAATTCGAGTTGTCCTTTATGCAGAGGTACACTTTTTACTCCTGGATTTTTGGTTGAAAATCCAGTCTTAGACTTCCATGATGATTCAAGGGAAGAAGATGATCATGTGTTAGGGGTACCTTGTAATTTTAAGCAATCTGGAGGGGGGATTAAAAGTGGGTGTATCCGGTTAGATTTGGCAAGTTTAGAGCCACAAATGGTAAGAAAATAGATGAGAAAGAAGTGGGGGAGACTAGTAACAGTAATCTTGATGCAAGAAGGTGCTTTTCAATGGGATCTTATGAGTATGTGGTGGGAAACTCGGAATTACAGGTGAGATTTTGCCCTAGTAGGGGTAATATTAGAAAAAAAATATTTTGGTATTGAGAAAGATAAGGGGAATAGCTCAGTTGATGGAGGGTAGTGATGGAAAGAAAATTAGTAGTAGAAGCAAAGGTGAAAGCTTTTCTGTATCCAAGATTTGGCTTTGGTCAAAGAAAGATCAACATAAATTTCAAGACGCTTTAGTAACCATATGATTGGTTCTTGAAAATGTAAGGTTACCATCAAGAAAGTTGAATCCTAGTAATTTTCATCGTTAGTTTAGTTCATTGTTTATGGTAATGTGACTTGTACATCATGCTGAGGGAGTTGTACAATTATTTGAATGTGGAAGTTTGGGCCAAGTAATCATCAAGTGTTGATGATTTTTTTATTATCTTTTTTCTTGTGATATTGCTAAATGATTTTGTGTTATTATATGTGACTTGCTTTATTGAACATGACAAAGTGTACTCAAAACAATTTATTTTATTACTGAAATTTGCTTCTCTTTCCTTCCCAAAACATTGTGAATATTATTATATTAGACCCAATGCAATGCCAAATACTGTCAATTCATAAGTTCACTTGACCCTTCTGAGCCTTCTGCTCTCTCTTGCCTTTGCTACAAAATTCGCAGAAACACATAACTATGAGTTCAAGGTATGCCCTTATATTATACATAGTGTACCATAATCTTCATATACATTTTTTGTGTATCTAATGCAGTTGATTATGTTTGTAACTACTTTGATTTTCACAGGTTCAAGAACAAGCAGCAACAAGGCTATTCTAAGTATGTAATTCATGTCCTTTTGGCTGTTTCAACTTATAGCTATTGGCTTAGAACTAGCTGCTGTTTGGGAATCTATCTGTCAAGCACATGTATCAGGTATCCAATTATTAATATATACAGGGACTGTTTCAATTGTTTATAATATAATTAATATTATACTATTTTCATGATACAAAAAGTTATAAATGGAATTGTTGTTAATTATTGGGCTTGTATCAACTTCTCAAGAACTGTTCTAGATAGTGCTGCTCAAAGTTTTTGTCATCAGTTGGTCCAAATGTGCCAAGAATCTGGCATGGTATGTATATAATCAACTCAAATATTATCTTTCATAAATTAAATATTTAAATTATATACAAAAATGTTGGAAATTTCAGGAATTTAAAAGTGAAAGTGTGGTTCCAATCTACTCTGCAAGACAAGATCAGGTCAATAAGGCTTTAAGGCACGTGTATACAGCCATTGTAAAACAAACTTGGAGGAACAGAGTTGGAATTGCTTATTACCATTCTCCCTGACAACAATGGCAGCTTGTACGGTATGTAGCTTTCATATGCTTATCACCCTTCCATTGGAATTAAAAAGAAAACTTTTTTGTTTTGCTTGATAGAATAGAATGGACCATTCCATTCCATTCCTTCCAGCCAAACAGACAGTAAAGTTGCTTGGGTTTCAGGTGATGTGAAGCAGATATGTGAAACGGATATTGGGTTGATTTCACAATGTTGTCTTACAAAATATGTTTTAAAGATCAGCAAACAGTATCTCTCAAATGTCGCCCTCAAAATCAATGTCAAGGTCAGACATTTTTCATGAGAAACTAGGCATTACTAACTCATTGAATTCTATTTTTTTATTTTAGTTTTTTATTACTCAGAAGTCTAGAAAGGATAGTAACCCTTCAATTGATGCAGTAATTACAAAAATAACCTCGGTCTATAGACTATAGTTTACTTGTGTTAAAATAACCTGGAATGGGAAGTGGTCCAGTTGTTGATCTGTTACCAGTATCATTATCTGGAGGAACTGCTGTTCTTTTTACTTATCCACTTGATTTAGTTAGAACTAAATTGGCTTACCAGGTATACGATCATAATTCCCACAACTTTATTTTAACAAATAGCTACATACTTTTTTTAATATGCAAGTGTCTAACTAGCCCAATCATTTTCATCTGATAGTACATGTTGTGGATACTCCCAAATTGAACATGAAAGAAGCCATGAGTAGCGAACATTGCATTCAGAGGAATTAGGGATTGTTTTTCAAGAACTTAAAGAGATGCTTGGATTAGAGGGCTGTATCATGGTGTTGGTATGAATTTTTTTAATTTCTCATACAAAATAAGTTTTTTTTTATTTCTAAAAATTGATTTTTTTGTAGCTCCATCACTCTATGGAATCTTTCCTTACTCGGGTTTGAAGTTTTACTTCTATGAGAAAATGAAAAGCCATTTCCCCATTGATTACAGAAAGAACATCATAGTCAAACTTGCTTGTGGGTCGGTTGCTGGTTTACTTGGTCAGACTTTCACTTACCCTTTGGATATTGTCAAACGCCAAATGCAGGCAATCTTTTAAATCTAGTATATATATATATATATATATATATATATATATATATATATATATATATATATGTATATCTATATGTATATAATTAAAGTATGAGATTATCAAGATACATGTTGTTTGAGTATTGAAGGTTCAACGTCTACAAGGCTCAAGCTCACAACTGAAAGGAATAATGGGAACTCTTGTTATGATTGTCCAAAAAGAAGGATGAAAACATTTATTTTCAGTATTTAGCATCAACCATCTGAAGGTGAGATTGTTAATTACCTGAAAGGGAGAATTTGTAAAAAGTTAGGACTTAACAAGGAATTTTTTTAAGGTGGTGCCATCAGTTGCAATTGAAGTGCCCTCATCACAGTAATTAGAATTTTAGTAGGGTATTCTTTTGCCCATTAGTTTTAAGGTAATTGAAAATTGTATATTTGATTCTTTTGTAATGTATCCTAGGTTATATTCCAATGTATAGGCATAACTATCCTATCCCCTCTCTGCAATGATTTGAGGGTGAGCTAATAATCCCTTAGATTGAGAAGTCAAACATGGCCTCTTTCAAGTAAATCCCTGATCAATGCAGTTTGGAAACAATGCTTCTTGTTTTTAAGATCTTTATGAAGTCGATTTGCTAAAACTACAAAACATTCTTGCCATTGAAGGAAAGGAAGCTCGGGACTATCTAAACAATGGAGTAGATTTTTCATAACCTACAATCAAAAAATAAACTTGTTAGGGCTAATAACACAACTTCATAACTCATGATCAATTTGTATGCAAAACGCGTTTAAGCTAGCTTCTTTCTTTTGGTTCTGGGTAATTTCTTCTACTTAATCCCCTAACATATTTTCATCTCAAAAGTTGGAATTATATATTTATACATCAACGATGCACTTTTGTTATTCCAGTGACAATTCGGTTATAATTCTTGTTTCATCAAGAACCACATGCTCGCCTACATACGCCTGTTTTTAGGTTTGAATAAAGTTCCTTTCCATTTTGACACGGATTTCAGACAAAATTAAACCTCTCAATACTCTTATCTCTTATATTGTGATATACTGGATATGGTGAACAATCATCTAGATATATGATATGACTTGTTCAGTTTTGATTAGTGGATTGATTCTTTTTGAGGCTTATTTTGCATGAAGTGGTTATCAGGATATATCATACTTGATAAGGTTTGTTCAAAGTTTTATAGGATTAAAGTACACTAAAAATGTCAATGGCTAACTTTTTGGGATTTTTCAGTTAAAATTGTGCAGAAGCATTTCTTATGTTACAGTTGCTGCTCATGCAGATCACACAAGCAGGAGGAAATTAGCACTTTTCCAGGTTCCTTTGTTACTAGGCATTGGGGAAGAAGATACAGTCCTGACTAAGGCAACTGAAAGTGGCGATATTGATCTTGTTTATCTTGTTCTCTTTCATATATGGCAGAAGGTATTTATTGTTTTCTTGTTTGATTAATTATAAAATAATACTAAAATTAAGTTCTCAAATTATTGGCTTGTATAGAGACCAGCATTGGAATTATTTGGAATGATACAAGCTAGACCTATTGCGCATGATCTATTCATACGAGACTCAAGGTATCATATTTTGGCATGGCTAGAAGCTTTAGAGGAAACGAGAATCAAGCAAAAGTAAACACACACAGAGTTGTTGGCACATAGTAAGCTAGATGATGCAATTGTATATAAATGAGTTCATTTTTTTATAACATTTACTCACTTTTGGAATAATTATTTGTATTTGACATATTAGTGAAATGAATTATCTTTGTTATTTATGGTATTTTATTTTGTATTATGAGATTTTTAATATATTATTTAATTTGAAAATTAGTAAATCTATAAATAATATTTTTTTTAAACATTTAAAATTATGATACGCAAAAATGTGTGTCATTTTCATTTATGACATGGCCTTTCTTGACAGGGGCTTTCTTGATACGCATTGCGTGTCATTAACACGAGCGTCGTAAGGTTATGACACGCGAATGCGTGTAGTCTTCCTTTATGACAGGGTCTTCCTTGATACGCATTGTGTATCGTAAATGTGCGTCGTAATTGTGCGTCGCAAATGAGCGTCGTAAATGCGCATCGTCTCTCTTTATGACAGGGCCTTCCTTGACGCGCATTTGCGCGTCGTCTAAGCCTTTTACAACGTGCAATGAGCGTCGTAAAAGGCTGTTTTTCTAGTAGTGAATTAGTCTTAATTCCCCAAAATGACAATTCTCATTCATCACACAATACAAGTTACATGATTCCAAGTTTCTATCCATGTGAAACCTTCATGATGAGAATTTTTCCTTATTTGGTAAATTATGACACTACCACAAATGAAAGAATCAAATCTATTTTCCAATATTGCTATCAGTGGAAACATATAAGCAACAATTTTTCACAAATACCATTGTAAGGAAATTTAAAATAAGATAAAAATCAAAATTTTCTTTTATTTATAAACTTGCAGAAAACTTGTCCTTGCAATGCAAATACATATGAAAAACTATGTTGTTATCTATTCCTAAGCAATTTATCATAACTCTTAAGCAGTAGCTCAAAATTCTGATCATCGAACCATTCGATCGAAATCCATTTCTTCGTGATCAGAATCAGCTAACTCTTCCTTTAAGCTTCCTTTTTCTTCTTTGATCCTTCAAAACATCAAAATGCAATTACACTACATCATGTATTAAGAATATCCAAATAGGATATTAATAAAGTTAAAGTAGAGTCAAACTTTTTGAGTTACCATCCTTATGATCCTTCAGGTAGATACGGCAGCTTCGCAACCAATGCCCCAATCTCTTGGCAATAGAAACATATGGACTCTTTGGGAATGGTACATGGGACAATCTCAGACTTAGCCGTTCCCTTTCCCTTGGAAAGAGAAATCTTTTTTGGACTTCCAATGTTTCCATTGTCATTGTCCATGGAAGTTTAGGAAGTAGATATTCCAATCAAATTTGCTTTACCAGTGCGCCAAATCATTGTTGATTCAGCAACAATTAGCAAATAGGTTAGATCCATAAGGGTCATGTTGTGGTCTATCATATAGTAGTCCTTAATGTACCTGCTGTAGGGTTATGAGCATTGTAACACTCCTAAGTGTACATGCAACCCTAAATACCTTGGATCTATGTTTTCTCTATTATACATGCAAATATGAACATCCAAGGTATTATCCTAATCTAGCATACAAAATAATGGATATAAGAGATAGAATACATACCTTTTTCATGTAGAAAGTCTTCATGAAGCTTGAGTGCCTAGTGCCCCAAGTGTGACACCTCAAATGGTTCACACAACACCAAATACACTTGGAATAACTTGAGAGAATTCTACACTTCATAAAATCGGCTAGCCCTCTCTAGAATAATACTAGTGCCGATTTTGTCAAGAATAATATCTTTATATAGTGTTACAATTAGGGCAAACCCTAATTGTCATGACTTTCCATTTCCTTGGATCCATGGGTTCAAATACACCATGGAGCATCCATGGAGCATCATATGGGTTTTGGCCCAACTAGATAATCCATGGAGCATTAGCCCACCATACAAGTATGGATGATTTACACAATCAACCCATATATTTAATTAGTCTTCTTTTGATCACTTAATTAATCCTAGATTAATTCTTGATCAATACTAATTAAATAATCTTATTATTCTTATTATTAATATACTAGAACTTATAATATATTAATAACCATAAGTGTCTTATTTCTCTCATTATAGTCTATCCAAGTGCATGATGCCATGCAACCCAAATGGACCATGCCGGGTCGGGTCAAGTCTTACCAATTATAGTTATGGACTTAGACATTAATCCAACAGTCTCCCACTTGGATAAGTCTAAAACTATTATTGCGTATGACTTCAGGAACCAACTGGCAATCGTAGCTCTTAAAAGCTTCTGTCGAACTCTGACCTTGTCGATAAACTCTGACCTTTGTCAATGACTTGTCCATTAGATAAGGGATCATATATTCCTCCATTCTAGATATCATATGGACTGAGACATGGATTATAATCATTCTCTCTGTCCATTTGTTGTTTCCCGATTTCCGATTTATGACGACTGACTAATTGAACAAATCAAATCAGTCCTGGCCCGGCCGAGCACTTCCATTTGTCATCATCAAATCATCGAGGGGCCCACAGATATCGCTTTTATCCCGAAGGTAAAAGGAATGGATAAACTTCGACTCATATGGCTTGTTCTACTACTTGTTGAATCATACACAAAGACACGTTTATAACATCGAGTTACCAATGCGTTTTCGTGCAATCAATGTACTATCAACTCATAGTAACAACTCATATCTCTAGGTTTGAAGAATATAAGATATTATCGTCTCATGATCACTCGTGATAAAATCCATGAAGTGATTCCAATGAGCGCGGGTTGAATCCAATACTCAGAACTTATGAGCACTCATGAGTGTTGTAGCCCTTTGTCCAACACCTTAGACCTCTACAAGCCAACCCATGACAGTCTTAATTCATATCTACTTCCAACATATGACCGACTGTGGATGGTTTGAATAACTTAGTCATTCCGGAAGAATAACCTAGTTTATTCGGGAAGTCAAAACATGCAAAGTGAAACACAATAATAATTGAATCCAATATGGTATCAAAACCTATGAACATAAATAAAACACCTTTTATTTATCACCATATGATTACACATTATTCATTGTATACTGTTTCAGCTATCAACTTTATTCTTGAATTTAAAACAATAGTTGTCCCATGCTCCAAGCATGTACACTATGTTTTTCTAAACACTAGTCATGCCACACACCAAGTATGCATACTATGTTTGTCTATGATCTTTACTTTGTGAACTAGATCAATTGAACATAACTTCAATGATTCTCTTTTCACACTCCCAAATCCTTACTGCAAATGCAAGAATTCCAAATTCATGCCATTTACTGAAATCTGTTAGATTCTAAACTTATATGCATTGATCCTCTTGTAACGATTATGCACAAATTCACAAAGACTTGGCAACAATCATTACAAAGTATTCCAAAGGAGACCGGCTCCTTGGAAACATCCTTCTTGCATTAAGTTTCCTTAATCTTACACAGATTGAAAATTCTAACTTTGAAACATTTCCAGATTCCATTTTGACTATCACTTCTGAACAAGAGTTGCCTCCTTACAGATTATGTCAATATGGTCCTTCCAGAATTATCACTATACTTCCAACTGTCCTTGAGCAACCAATCTTTGGTAAACCTTAGATTGTCCTCGACAATTGTTTAATCCTTTTAGTCATATCCAGTTCTAAACCTTTTCCCTTCTTAATGCCCCAGGCATTTGGAAACTTTTAGAATGGATAACTATAGCACATGTAATCGATCCTATATCCGAAGCATATGGGACATGATTCATGATGTCTCACATAAAGACTAAACCAGTCTTTTGCTATAACATTTCCATTTCTATTTGCCAAGTTCTCATAATTCAGATTATGAAAAGGGATGTCGTAATCATAATCGAATTTTAGAATGCGCAAATAATGGACCCATATACAGAATTTCCTTATGTTGAGCCATTCCAACATGAAATTCATATATATCCTTGACTAAATGATTAAAACCTCACGATCTAAGCTTATAGATTTGAGATGAAGTATAATTTCCTCTCCCTTAATTATAGCAAAACAACTTTTCCCAATTGAAACCTTTTGTTTTCTATAATTAACATTGCTAACTTGCAATACTTATCATAATTATCATGCTCCCACTAACATGATGATTATTAGCATAACACTTATGCTCCCACTAGCTTTGACATGTACTCAGAAATCAGTTAACATTCTTACCAAAGTTCAGATTTCTGATACTAGATTGTTTTGATAAAACTTTATCAAAATCATACACCTTCCCTTAGATAGCACACTTGCGTGTCTAAACAATTATGAAGAGGGATGCCGTAATCATAATGGTTAGACCTTTTTGCCACTTCTCACAAGTCCAGGTTAGTGTGCCGGTAAACCACACACGCTCCACTAACGACTTTGAGAATGCAAATATCACAATTGCTATCTAGCTAAAATCTACTTAGTGAAAGTGTTTCCTCACCATCATTTTCATGAATCGGAGAGAAACCTTATGACACTTAGATTTAATGGTGTATGTGTTCTTATCCATGAATTGTCAAACCATAGTCACAAGACAAGGATAATGACAAATCCAAACTCATATGGACTGAACTCAATCTTAATTTCTTGCCACCTGGCAGCTCAAGGGCCTGCCATTGCTTCCAAGTTGTTGTGCAACCAATTGAGAACTCTAAGAACTCAACTTTAACTGGAATGGGCACAGATATGTCAACACGATAGGTTATAAACCTCAAGTCGTGTGCTAGTGAAGAACTTTAGGTTTTATTCTTGATTAGTTCTTGAGACTTTCAAGACCTTTAAGACTCCCACTGTCCTCTTGACCTATAAGACTCCCTTGTCAAACATCCAAGAGATAGTGTGGATTCTAACCAAGACAAACACTTCACACAATTGGCCTAAGTTGGTCTTTGTTTTATCCAAAACATCACAACTTACCAATTTCAAATGTACAAGAGTAGGACACTTTTACTCTTACATTTGACACGTGTTTTAAACCTT